TAATGAAAAGGGAAAGGGCCTAGGAAATACAACCAACACTTAAAGATAGAAAATGAAATAAATTCCTGACTGGTCTCCACGACTGATAAGAAATTGGTATAAATGTACTGATGCCCAGGAAAAGGACAGGTAGACATGAACCAGACATTTAGTTTCTAAAGATTAACCATTTGAAAAGGAACCAAAATCTAACATCATCTCCGTCCACCAGAAAAACCTTAGAAGTAATTTTGTTGAGTTCTCTGAAGCCCAGGCCCACGGTCTTGTTCTCAAGCTTCATTCTATTCCCATGAAAGATTAAAGTGCAGATTTGCTCTAATCTAATGTATAAAATTTGGAATAGGATGCACGAATAGGATGTATAATATTTGCATGGTAATTTGTAGGCCAAAGCCCAGGGTTTCTTAACTTAAATTCTGAACTGAGGCCAACAATGAAAAAAAATCTCTGAGCCAATAACCATTATCAGCGATTTAACCTTGAAAGAGTAAGATGGGACATGAGCTCTAATACACAGGCCCAGAGGCCTCTCAACAATTACATTACAGTAGAGAATTAAAATTGTGAAGACAATTCTGTAGCCAGGTCCAAGGATCTTGTAAACATGACCCCAATTTTAAGGCTTAAGAAAACATAAATTCTGAGATTTGAGCCAAAGTTCATGGGCCGACTATCTAAATCCCAGTTCTTTAGAATAGTGACTATAATTTTGGAATGCGAGCTTGAAGCGTATGCCCTCGTGTGTTAGAAGCAAAATCTGGAATTTGGAATGGGAGCTCGGAGGCCTAGGCCCAATGTCTTCTCGCCACCACAAAACACCTAAGAATATAGCAAATATGTCTGGGAGGGCAGAGGGCCAGACCCAAACCCATGGTCTCATACATTAATGCCGTGCCTTTTTGCCTCGAAAGAATGAGAGCTGGAACATTGATCTGAGGCAACTGCAAAGGGCCTAGGAACTAAAACCAACACTTAAGGATAGAAGAATAAATCTCTGACTAGTCTCCATGGTTGATAAGAAATTACAATGAAATAACTAAAGCCCAAGAAAAGGACATGTACCCATGATCCAGACATTTCATCTCAAAGAATTAAAAATTTGAAATGGAGCTTAACAATATTTCTCCCAACATAAAAACCTTAGAAAAGTGCCAATAATTTTTATTGGGTTCACTGATGCCCAGGCCCAGGGTCTTGTTCTCAAGCTTCATTCGTTTAGCCATAAAGATTAAAGTGTAGGATTTGTATTCTAAGGGTCTGGTTCGTAGCCTACTAACAATAAACCAAACTATAAGACAGGGACAATAGTGTTGAAATGAAAGCCGTAAAACTCAGCCAAACGTCCAGTAGCGAGCCTGCCGTTTAGACTCTAAATAATAAAATTTGGAATGGGAGCACTTGGCTTAGGCTTGTTCTCAAGCTTCAGCCCTTTAACCGTGAAAAATTAAAGTCTAGGATTTGTGTTGTGCAGCTCTGGTCCTTAGCTCACTAACACCAACAATTAAAGAAAGCTTTAGACAAGGACAGTAATGGTGAAATGAAAGCCCTGACATACAGGCAAAAAAAGCCGATTACTGCACTCCGTCAGCACTCAAAGGCTACATAAAAGCCAGAAGGACTATGCAGTATTTTTTGACGAGAGGGCATTATAATGATTAGAATCAGATATTTCAGCGATAAAATACCCTTTATATGAAATGGAACAGACCGTAAAAAAACACATTTTTACGAGAAAGAACACTAAAGCATTAATTTGGGTGACCAAACCTTTAGAATAATTATATGGTCGTTCTATAGGCTCACATACAAGGAAAAGGTGTTTCCTGCACTCCACAAGCGCTCAAACTCTTCAGAAAAGCTAGAAAGACAATGCAGTACTATCCGAACATAAAGACATTACAGTGAAAATCACATTTTCATGAGAAGGAACACGAAAGCTATAACTTGGGTGACTAAATGTGTACAATACTGAAATATTTGTCATAGACGCTAAGTGACCTTGAAAAGGCGTTTCCAGCATTCCAGAAGCACTCAAAGGCTTTAGAAATATGCATAAATAAATAATTAGACTAAAAATAAATAACTATCTAATTAAATAAATAACCCAGATAGCAAGCGACTCCGATCCAGATCCGCTTTTCCCCCGGAAGATCCGCGTAACAGTCACGTCCTTTTGGCGGATTTGGTCCGGCTTTGGAACAGGTTCGGTTCACGACTCGGTTCTTTGTGACGTATAGATTGATTCACTGCCGACGCTGGTCCGGAGAGAGGCGCTCGAGCTGCTTTTAAGTTTTTTTCCGTTTAACGGTTTCAGCAGCCAGTCGATTGCGGTGAGTTTTCTTAATCTGTAGCTATATTAATTCACATTTGCAATTCATTAAGCTGTATTGTCTATGTGTTTCGTGTTTCTATGAAAAGCAGTACAACTAACGTTAGCTTTGTTTTTTAGGACAATTTTCTCCAAAAAATCTCCGCCTGTTCCTTTCCAAGGTAAGTTAATACTAGCTGTTGATCTTGCTAACGCGAGCTAGCTCGCTAGGTTTCTGAGCTGAGCGCTGTTTGGGATTTTTATGACAGCTCTAGTTTAAATTCAGACGTCTTTAGCTCGTCGTTAACAGACATGTAAATAACTAAGTCTGTCTTTTACTAATGTAGCATTAGCCTGTTAGTCAGCTAGCTAGCTTTCTGCTACCTGCCCAGCCTGCTAGCAAGCTATAGTGAACAGTAACAGCTAGTGAGGGCAGAATATATCCAGTTATAACGAGAATATAACATGTAAAACATTTAAGGCGAGTCTGTCACGAACAAACAGTGATGTTCAACTGGTGGTTTATCATCTGGTTTCATTTAATGTACACAGATTTTAACTTAACGTTTTTAACAACTGGGCTTTTGTAGCGCTGCTGTTCTTGTCGTTATTTAATCGTCACTCGGCTGTACTGACAGCCACAAACTGCACATTGTCCCAGAGACATTTTATTACACAAAATAACAACTTAAATAAGCACACTTTCTCGGACTTTGCTAAAAAGTGTAACGAACAACACTTCCGTTCCCAACCGAATATTTCAATCATAATCGCGAAACAAGGTGGTCAAGTGAAGAATAAGATATGGAGGAAAAGGGAGGATAGCCCAGGAGAGTAGGGGAGGATGGTCTGTGACGGGGCTCAGAAACGGATGACGGATGATAAACTGCCAGTTGAACATTACTGCTCCTAGCTAACAGACTCGTAGTTAGGGCTGTGAATGGGCACAAATGTTATCGCTTTCTTTGTACACATCATAATGTGCCAGTTGGTAGGCATCACCCAGCACTACGCAGTGGTTATATTAAGTATAATACATGTGGTATTGATGTAGGATATCACATCACCCTATATGTTTAAATCTTCATCCTTGGGAGTAATAGTGTTTTGCAGTGGTTTGCATTTAGTTACCGACTGAAGGGTTTTTTAAACCAGTGGTAATTGAGTTTTTACTGTCATTGGGTGCTTTTACCTCAGTAACTTGTATAACCGTGACCCTCTAACTGTCAACAGGCACAAGCCTAGCTTTTGCAAGGGGCCAAAATATTATTGAGTGGGGACGCAAAACTATTGTGAGTGAATGCAAAACATTTGCAGCGGTGGCTGCTTGCTGACTGTAAGTCAGGGGCCATATTACAGAAACATCTTAACTCTGAAATCTGATTAGTCTCCATGACGACTGAATTCAGGACAGTCGCTATTCCAGAATAACAGTTCCTAACTTCATAATCTCATCATTAACTCCAGACAAGGAAACAGCATCACACAAACATCCTAACTAGACTAAACCTCCTAAATCCTGTCCTAACTTTAGGATGAACCCCAACAGCGTCCTAACTTCTGTTTCAGGTCCGTTTCTATGGTTTTTAGGCAGCTGTGTCAGCAGCATAGTTCACTACCAGCATAATGAGCTCCATTTATTTCTACTGTAAAACGCTGCTTTCACTGTGAGATGATTTTCTTTTCTAACTCTGCGTTTTAAAGATCTCAGACGCTGCAGACTTGATCTCCACCGTCCCTCTGATTACCTTCGTGTGTTAATTTTGATGATGAAATATTACAGTGATGGTGGTGAATAATGAGGAGACGGAGCTGAACGTGTGTCTGTTTATTAGAAGAAATAACCTTAGCGTGCTCGGCTAAAGCGTTTGGGAAATGGAGCTGTGACGCTCTGATAAACGACAACGGGGAACACTCACAATGTTAATCTCCAGTTTATTACCTTTTTGTTTTGATCTTTTTATATCTGTAACGGTAGCCGTAACTTACATTTGTAACATTTGTTAATTTGAGAATGTGTCTACGCTTCAGCTGTGTGTGTATGGTCGGTTGCTAGGTAACAGACATGACAGTTGATTGTCAACTTTGATTGAGTAGGTTAAGATTTCCTAACTGGAGATAAGACGGTGTAAGATAAGATAAAATTCCTAAATTAAGATCAGATTTCTTCTGTTATATGAATTTGTGAAAAATCTTATCTGGACCTGTCAGATCTTAACTTAAGACTAAAAGACAGTTTCTGTAATACAGCCCATGGTCAACATCTACAATTTTTTTTCAGTGACATCTGTAAAGGATTAGCTTGACTGCAACTCCCAGCTTCCTGTAGTGAGAAGTTACTCTTCTAAACTGGGCATGTTTTTCAGTTGTATTTGTGAAAGTGTTTTTCTGCAGATTTATTTCACAAACTGATTTTTTAAAATACTTGGTGAAATATTATTAGTGGATGAATGACTGTAGGCTCTTTTTCACAATTACAAAAGCTACTTTTGAAATGGGCTTATTTTTACTGACATCTACCTTTCAGCATGACTGGCTGATAGCGGATACCGAACGAGGGTGGGGTTGGATGCCACATTTAAATGTGCAGAAGCAATTCACAACAGCAAAACAAATACACCTCTTCCTTCAGTTTTCCTTTGAAAGCTCTGCCCCCCAAATTTATCAATGAGCACTGCCAAGACAAATTACACTTTTTTTTAGATTTTTGTGGACATAAAACCATTTGCAAGCATTGTACCGATAAATGCCATGATATAACATTAGAGTAAACAACAACACGGCAAGTTATATAACTAAGCAAGTTGTGGGTTAACAGTCACTACAGTTGCTACTGTGAAGCTAACCACAAACATTAGGATAATAAAATACTAACCTTCTCATTCTGTGAAACAGCAGAAATAAGTTGATGTAACCCACCTGCCCAGCAAAAACAGAATAACAGCCTCATCCCTTTTCATGCCTTTCAGCCCTCGAAGCTGAAGTCAGCTTCTTTTTCGCCAGCTTCTTATTTGAATTTTCCCATTAAATGGTGCAGCAATAATAAACTGGACCCTATGCAACTTAGCCAGCCTTTAGGACAAAACAGTCCTCTTGCTTCACATTTTTAAATGTTAGCTAACATGCGAATCCTCAAAGCGTGTGAATTACAGTTCTACACATTCACACAGCAAGTTTCCTGTGCAATAGGAGCCAAATATGTAATAAGATACCTCAGGAAAAATGTTTTTTATTAGTGAAATAAATATGACAAGACTGAAGTTGGCTTCCTATTTGTCAGTTTCCTCTTCCACCTTAAATGGTGCAGCAGTTACATTCTGGCGCCTCAGGCAAAATATGGCTCATATATTTTACGTCACTGATCAGCTCTCAGGATTGGCTAAGTTACAGAAATATTGGCCGATCGTTGATCGCATATTTGGACTGAAAATCTGCCGATATCAATACATATCAGATCGATCCTTCCATCTCTAGTAAAGACTGTTTATTTCTCATAAAGCTGTAACAACTGAATTTTATAGATTAATTTGCAGTGTTGATAACCAATCATTTAGTTTTTTCTTCTCACCTTTTAATCTGTTTTAGAGCCTAAATGAAAAGGAGGGAGCCCCCATTAACGAGCTCTGGAGTCAGGCGTAGGGCACGTTTATCATTAGTGAAACGACTCCATGACATAGCTGAAGACTGTCAGTTAACATCGGAACAGACAGTAGTTAACAGACCAGACCCTTGTCACGCTGCTTATGACACTGACAGTGACAGTGATGACGACTTTGACACTGGGCTCAGTGTGGGAGAAGAAAGGACATATGATTTACTTGGACCGGGCAGACAGAATGACTTAGACTGTACAGTCACACAGGTTAGTTCAGGGTCTGAGGCTGAAGACTTTACAGATGCACCAGTACCCTTAGTTGAGAGGCTGTCAAAATGGGCTGTGCGTTTTAACATCTCTTTAGTGGCTCTGACAGCCCTCCTTTGTGTGTTGAGGGTGTACCATCCAGACCTGCCCAGGGATGCGCGGACTGTTCTCAAAACACAAACTCAGTATAGCATCCACAGACAAGCTGGAGGGCTGTACCATTATAGAGGCATTTTGACATCACTTCGTAATACTTTATCACATGTGATAGACACAGTCTCTGAGGGATTTACGTTTAGATTACGAATAAACGTTGATGGGTTACCACTGTTTAAAAGCACAAGCATACAATTGTGGCCAATCTTAGGACTTCTGCTAAGTGTGCCAATGAAGGAACCAGTTGTAATTGGTTTATTTTGTGGTAAGAAAAAACCAAGTTGCCCTAATGAGTTTTTGAGAGATTTTACATGCGAATTACAACAGCTACAAGGAGGTTTTTTTTTCAGCCAAAAAAAAGTGTTTATCAAGCTTGATTCTGTTATCTGTGATGCACCTGCCAGAGCCTTCATAAAAAATGTGAAGGGCCACAATGCATATCATGGTTGTGATAAATGTTGCCAACCAGGCGTTTACATTAACAACCGAATGACTTACCCCTTAAATGATTACACTTTACGGACTGACATTTCATTTTTGGAGAGAACTGATGAGAGCCATCACCATGAAGGACCACATGGTTTTGCCAATCTAGATATCGGTATGGTGACTCAGTTCCCTCTAGACTACATGCATGTTGTGTGTCTAGGTGTGATGCGTCGATTGTTAAGCATTTGGTTGAGGGGTCCTTTGAAATTTCGCTTGCCCTCAAGCGTTATCGACAGGATTTCAGAAACACTTACTCAGATGCGTCCACATATACCAGCAGAATTTGCAAGGAAACCTAGATCACTAAGAGAGCTGGATCGTTGGAAAGCTACTGAGTTGTGACAGTTTCTCTTATATACAGGTCCTGTTGCTCTGGCACCATATTTGGACAGTCATGTCTATAACAACTTTATGCTGCTCTGTACAGGTATTTGTATACTTGTTAGTACACAGCTCTGCCCATTATACAGTGGCTATGCAAACACGTTGCTGTCCATGTTTGTAACTCATTTTGGTGAGCTCTATGGCAAAGATGGATTGGTTTATAATGTGCATGCTTTGGTCCATCTTTCAGCAGACGTGCAGTTACACGGTTGTTTAGATTTTATTTCAGCTTTTCCATATGAAAATTATCTCCATAAATTGAAGAGGTTTGTGAGAAAGCCAGATTTTCCTCTTGCACAGATAATAAGAAGACTGTCAGAAATGCAAAATATTACAAGTGTTGAGCTTCCTTTTAAGAATTTAAGAAAGCAGCATTACGTTGGGCCTGTTCCTGATGGCATCCAAGCAGTGGCACAGTATAGAGAATTATACACTGACAAATGGGCAATGAAAGTTTCAACAGGTGACAATGTTTTTTCTGTAGGTGGAGATGTATGTGTTGTACATAACATTATTGAGTGCAGTGATGGACTTTATGTAGTTTTTAAAGTTTTCACAATAAGAGAGAACTTTTTTGACTATCCTTTCAGCTCTGATTTCCTTCAAATATTTTGTGTCTCTCAAGCAATAGGTCCATATAAGTTTGCTAATGTATCACAAGTGTCGCATAAGTGTGTGCTCCTCCCTTATAAAGATATGTTTGTGGCCATGCCCCTCTTGCACATTCATAGTCATGGAAAAGGGTTTGAGTTAAGGGAGCAGTGAGGCTAGAGGGCAGAGTGCAATGGGGTTGGGGGTGACATAATTTGACTAATAGCACTTGACTTATACACTTGACACAACAAAGATCAACTGAAATTAAGATCAGCGCTCATATTCTTGAATAGTTTTGGATACTTCTGGAATTTAAATAATGTAAGTATCCATAATCACTAATATTTATAGCATATGATATGTGTTCTGTAATATATAATTTGTATTATTTACATACATAGGTGAATGTATCCTTATGGGTCTTACAGTTTGATCGTGTTACAGAGGTAGGTGTATGTAGTCTTATGGGTCTTACAGTTTGATCATGTTACAGACGTAGGTAAATGTAGTCTTATGGGTCTTACAGTTTGATCATGTTACAGATGTAGGTAAATGTAGCCTTATTGGTCTTACAGTTTGATCATGTTACAGAGTTAGGTGTATATAGTCTTATGGGTCTTACAGTTTGATCATGTTACAGAGTTAGGTGTATGTAGTCTTATGGGTCTTACAGTTTGATCATGTTACAGATGTAGGTGTATGTAGCTTTATGGGTCTTACAGTTTGATCATGTTACAGAGATAGGTAAATGTAGTCTTATGGGTCTTACAGTTTGATCATGTTACAGAGGTAGGTAAATGTAGTCTTATGGGTCTTACAGTTTGATCATGTTACAGAGTTAGGTGTATGTAGTCTTATGGGTCTTACAGTTTGATCATGTTACAGAGGTAGGTAAATGTAGTCTTATGGGTCTTACAGTTTGATCATGTTACAGAGTTAGGTGTATGTAGTCTTATGGGTCTTACAGTTTGATCATGTTACAGATGTAGGTAAATGTAGTCTTATGGGTTTTACAGTTTGATCATGTTACAGATGTAGGTAAATGTTGCCTTATTGGTCTTACATTTTTGTGTATTCATTTTATTTACTTATTTTATAAACTTAATTCATTTTTTATTTTTGTATTACTACACCCCCACACACCTTCCTTCTACCAACACCAAAGCATTTGTCTTGAATAATTCCACATCCTTTGCTTCTTAATCAGTTAGAAGTGGTTGCATAAAAGCATGGGGGTTTTATTTGATCTTGTCAGTCTTTTGTCTTTTATTTTTAGGACTCCAAATGCAATTTGAGAAAATATCAATTGTAAATTGTCATGTTTAGATGTTGTAATTGTAGGTAGTTGCATATATTGCATACATAACATGCTGGATATGTTCCTTGCAGGAGCTTAAACATTACATCTTCTTTTTCAGATGTTCATGGTTGTAGAATTTACTGACACCAAGACTGTAAATATTATATCAGAAACTTGGCTTGATGATGGTGTAGCTTTGTGGCCAAACTATAAGAGTGATGAGCGCATTAACAGAGCTATTCAAAAACATGAGGAGCCAGGACCAGACTGGAAACAGTATGATGTTAGAATCCTCTCAAAAGCTAGTAAGGTTTCCTTATTCAAGCAAAATGTGTATTTAATTAGGGCTGGAACTAATTTGCAAAATTAGATAAAATATCATTTTGAATTAAAGGTAAGATTTTTCAAATACAGTCATGCAGCTACTACCTACACTATGTAGTGTTCGAGTATCTTTTTTTTAAACATTGTTTAGGTTAGTAATTAAATTATTATTTTTCATGAGCTGAGTCATTTTTTAAAAACAGAGTGCAAACACTGTGCAGCAGCCTGTAATGTCTGAATTTGGGAAATATTTTACTACATGTTTTAAAATATTCCTGTTTTTAAGATGTGAAACTACATAGTTGAACTAATTGTTTTCTCAATTCTGATCAGGTGATTATTTGAGAGCAAGAGAAAAACTGAAGTCTTCACTGAACTGTCCTACTTCAGACTTACAAACAGACAGTGAAGAAGAAATCACCAGGAAGAGAAAAATTAAGCCAAGGTATGATATTTAAAATGATGGTCAACTACATTGTTCAATTGCAAATGGCAAATGAGTGATTCCATTGAAAAGAGAATAATTAGCCAGTTTTATCATAAGGTTTTTCACATATCAGTAGGTGTCTACATGTGTGGTTTCAGTAATTATTTCTTCCTTGCATATGTACTCTTTTTTTTTTATACTTTTTAAAATTTGTTTCTTAGGCAACTATTTGGTGATACAGACTCTGACAGTGATCCAGAGGTGGTGAGCAAGAGGAGGTGCTCTAACCTTTCCTCAGCTCCAGTACCACCACCTGTTCCCATCCCTCCTCCTCATGTACCTCCAGTACCACCTGCTCCCATTCCTTCCCCTCATGTACCTGGAGGTCCTCTCTGCCAGATGTCTGCCAGACCTTTACCTAAGGAACGCCTGAGCCATTCCTTTAATCCCTCTTTTAGACTGGGAAGAATTGCCGCAGGACCTATCCCTTGCACTGGTACCATCCTTTTATTCAGTACAGTTATCATATTATGCAAAAGTGTTCAGCATAATGAAACATATTCAGGCAGTTTGTTTTCAGTTTCTCTCTGTAATGTTTTGAGAGTGAGTTATGGAATTACTAAGGCTACGTTTACACAGCAGGTAAAAGTGGCCCAAATCTGATTTTCTCACCAAATCCGATTTTTTTTGTTTGGCTGTTCACATTATCTTTTAAATGTGATATGTATGCGACATCAGTCTGAACAGATCATGCTCCTAAACCGACCCACATACACAAATGAACAATGCTCCACGTGGCTTGCTCGTCCTGAGGTTTCATTTTCGTCTTCGCCAGCACCACAGAAGCCATCATGAAGCTTCACTGACTGACAGCTGGGCTGATCACCCAGAATGTGTTCGCTGAAAAAAGGGCACGTTATTCGGCCACGGCCACTTCTTTGGTCCTCGGATTTTTTAAACTTTTTTTGGATGCTGCAGCCTCGTTCTCCTGCAGCTGCGTCTGGCCATTTCGTTCGAAATGTCTTTGAACACAGAGCGGTTGCGATAAGTGCCTTTTAATTTTTGGTACAGAAACATCGGCCTAAATGTTTGAGTCTCAGCAGCACAAAATTATGACGAATGCCGATTTGCATTGCCGCAGATCTGATATTGAAGCCAAACTTATGCCACACTGTGCACTGAAACTAAGGCTTTGTTGTCACAGCGGGTAAAAGTGGCCCAAATCCAATCTTTTCCTGCATATGTGACACCGACACACTGACACACTGATGTGTCAGTGTGAACAGCAAAAAACGCATTGAATCTGAATTGAATTATCAATTCCGATTTGAGACGCTTTCATATGTGGTACTGAAATCCGATCCGTATCCGATCTGCAGCAGTGCAACTCAGTCTGAAGAGCCAGATCGGAATTCACGCGTCTTTTACGTCAATCCAGCTCGACATTTGTCGTAATTTTGTGCTGCTGACAATCATAAACATTTAGGCTGATGTTTCTGCACCAAAGATTAGAAGAGACTCATCGCAACCGCTCTGCGTTCAAAGAGATTTTGAATAAAATGGCTGAACGCGGCCAGAGGAGACAGAGGCTGCGGCGTCATGTTCAAGAGCCCGAGGACACGAACCAAAGAAGTGACCGCACCCTTTTTATGGCGGGCTCGAACACATTCTGGGTGATGAGCCCAGCTGTCAACCATTGCAACTTCATAATCACTCCTGTGATGCTGGCGAAGACAAAACTGAAAGCTCCGGGCTGGCGTTAGCTGGCCGTCATGATTGTTTACCTCTGGACAAGCCACGTGAAGCTCTGTTCTTTTGCGCATGTGGGTCGGTTTAGGAGCTGATCTGTTCAGACTGATGTCGCATACAGGTCACAATTAAAAGATAATGTGAACAGCCAAACAAAAAAATCGGATTTGGTGAGAAAATCAGATTTGGGCCACTTTTACCTGCTGTGTGAACGTAGCTTAAGAGCAGGTGGTAATGTGCATGGTAGGACAGTACGTTCTCTCTACAGCCTATTTTACAAAGGCGATAAAAAAAGATCTATAAAGTTATTAATCTAACTATTTTAAAGCTTATACTTTGCAATTTTATTCAGTGAAAGAGTAAAGTTGCCATATGCAGACTAATTCTGCAAATGCCTTGTTTCGCCTGTTTTGCTAGTCTGTATGTCTCCAACTATATTGAAGAAATGGTTGTAATTGTGTTTAGTGTGGCAGCATAAACTCGGCTTATGTCACATGGTAGCAAGAGGTATCAGAAATTGGTATCAGTGCATTTTTATGAGTATGAGGATGAGTAAATGAGCACAGTATCAGGTTAGTGCCTGATACCAGTATCAGTATCGATGGATCCCTAGTAGAAGATCTTGAGAAAAGATGACTGAGAACTGGCAACCCTGCCTCTGCCAATTTGTCTAGTTGTAAGAAAGATTTAAGAATGAATAAAATATTTAACTACTGAAAATAACCAATAGTTACTTTTGTGACAGAGCTGTCGCTCTTTCTTTTTCTAGCAGCTCAGATGCACATCCTAACGCTGCTGGAACATATTAAAGAACAGCAAATTCAGCTTGCTGCTGCTGTTAATAATCTTGCTGCTAGAATGGGTACGGAGTCTCCGGTTGCAGAAATGCCTCAAGAAATCAGTTTTCCACTGGCCACAATGTCTGAGGTGGATGAGTTTGAGGACTGGCTTAAAGATTCAAGAAACTTTCAGGCAAAGCAGAACATGGTGGGTTATCTCTGTCATTAACTTTTTTATTTTATCTTGTTCTGTTTACAATCTCTATTAGTGTTACACTAGTCTTATTTTGTCCAGTTGCTCTGCATGTCTCCTAATTTAAATGAAATCATCCAAACCAGTAAACTACAACTTGAAACCAAGACATTTCCCTGTTTTAATTCAGAATTAGAGATGTCCCACAATATCGCTTCAAGATTTTTCCCCCACATTTTAGAAGTTAAATGTGAAGGCCATGTTTAGTTTTAAAAAAGTATTCGCATGTGAAATGTTATTAAAAACAGAAAGCAGTAATTAGTAAATTCTGTTTGATCTTTATTAAAAAGTACAAAAACATGATATTTGATGTTTTATCCTATGAACTCTATTTTTACCTTATGAACTGTTTTTTTTTGTTTTTTTTGTAAATATACGCTCATTCCAAGTATGATTTCTGCATGTTAAAAAAAAGTTAGGACTGGATCATGTTTACCACTGGGTTACCTTTCCTTTTAAGAGCTCTTAGTAGGGGTGGGAATCTCTAGGCATCTCACGATTCAATTCGATTCGATTATGATTCAGAGGCTATGTTGCGATCATAAAACGATTATCGATGCATCTTGATGCATTTTTTTTATACAGGATTTCTATTTTCTCACTGTGTGACAACTTGGTACTTTTAAAGCAAAGTATTTGTAATGATCCTGAATGAATTTACTTCCAATATCTTTTATTAATAGATCAATAAATGGAAGCGATGTGGGAGACTCATCCACTGCTCTTGATTGGAGCACATGAGACGCTGCTGCCACTTATCTGCGATAAAATGCGCAGTTACGGTGAAATTAGATTCTGTGGCAGTGGGTGTCACGCAGCAGATTACAGCTATTCTACCCGTTTTCTTCAGTGATTTCATAACTTTGGTTTTTGTCTCGTTGTAGAGAGTGGGGGGGGTGCTGTGTCTCGGCTCCAAAGTGTCCAACATAGTGCGAAAGCCCTGGTTCTCAACAACTGAGTATGGATGCAAATCCTTGGCAATAAAAGTTGCGATAGAGTTCGCTTGGTGCTTTTCGATTTGGGTGGAAGCTTTGGCATCGCTCGATCGACCTGCGGCTCTTTTACTGGCCTAGTGTGGCTCCACATCAGAGTTAGATTTCTAAGTAAAAATGAAATAATCATCCTTTGCAGTAAAATAAAGCTCTGCTGATCATTCAAAGACAGTTTAAACAATAAATGATGTTAAACGCTGGAATTAATGTAGCCTATAACCGCTAGTTCACCTAGCTAGTAGCTAACGAAAAGGCAAAGAGAGATTTCAGACGAACATCCATAGTTTGGAGACGAATAGACTTATTTGCATTTATAATCACTCCAGCTGGTTTCCTGATACCTTTAATCTGCAACGAGAAACTGTTAAACACTAAAAAAACACGTGAAACTGAAGTCAGTTTCTCGTTCTCCAGCTTCTCGTTCGAATTGTCCTGTTCCACCTTAAATGGTTCAGCAGATACATTCTGGCGCCTCAGGCACCATTTATGGTGGAAGTGACTTCAGCCTCGTAAAAAGTAGAATATTGAGAGACATTTTACAAGAAACTGTTCTACTTTTGTGGAAAAGTTTCCTGCTGGTGATGCAAGAAAAGTGGCTACAGCTGAGCTTAAGCTTAAAGCAGAGCAAAGCAAGCCTGCGTTTTTGTTTGTATTATATTTTCAGCCTATACTAGGACATTAGCACGTACTGAGACACGTGTACAGTCAAGATGGTAAAATGGACATAAAGTGTTGTGGCCCCCAAGGTGGTTTGATTTTTGTTGAAAGGACAAAATTACTCTTATTTACATTTGGGTTGTGAATCCTGCACTAGCTTTTAATGTAGTGTGCCGCCACAGACTGTCCGGGCGCTGCACTTCTGCACTTTGCAAAGTTCCATTTTTTGCGTTCCGTCAACATTATGTTATCAGTTAAAATTTTGAAAATCGATTTTTGACATTTGTGAATCGATTCAGAATCATCCACATCCACATCGCGATGCATCTAAGAATTGATTTTTCTCCCCACCCCTAGCTCTTAGTGATCATTAATTGTACTGATCTTTTGAACGCTGTTATTGCTATGGAAAAAACAATTGAAAAAACAAAATGTACCAGTCTATATTTATATTTATCAATGAATCTTGTTTTTGTCAGGTGTCTGCTCTGGGTGCAGTTGGAGGACCCAATGCAAAAAGACTGACATGGAATGTTCTTTCAAAGATTTTTTCTGATCCAGTTGCCAAAAATATTAATTGGAAAGGGGTTAATGGTAAAAAGAGCTTCAAAGAAATGATTACAAGAAGTCTGCTGATCAGTAAGTATCCAAGAATACAGTTTGGACAGGTGAATCAGTCTTTAGCTCAGTTACTATTGTTAGTCGGTCAAACATTTTGCAAGAAAGGGATTGATTTAAAAGTATATTTTCAATTATCAGTAGAGGTGAACAACCCTAGGCTTAAGATTAGCAGATTTTTGCACCTAAATCATTTCAGCCAAACAGTCTTGCAATTTCTTGCCATAAATAATGTAAGCCAGCTAAGTACATGCATGCTGCATTTTTTGTTACTCATTTCTGTTTTGGGTTATAAAAAGGATCATGGAATTGAGGATGGAATTCAACCATTTTTGCCATTTCAATTTCTAAAATTTTGAAATATTTAACTATTCCAACAAGAAAGAAGAACATATTTATATTGTCATTCTTGAAAAGCGTCATTCTTTCAAAGCACTTTTTAGGTTTCACAATCTACTAACCCAACCTAAGGATGTTTGAACACCCTTTCAGTCAGTGTGTAGTAAAACCACCTTTGGCTGTAATCATAGCTTCTAATCATTTCTTATAGTCAGCTAACAGTTTTTATATTCTTGATTTGGGAATTTTTGTACCCTTCTTGCAGAATGCTTCATGTTCAAAGGAAATTTTGCATGCCAGCATCCTTTTACCCCAGACTACAATAAGGAAATTGGCAACAGACTTTTTTCTGACAAAATAGCTCAAACTTGGCACCAGGCTACTCTGAGGCACTGCCTATCCAACAAATATTTAATTTTTTTAGTAACCATTATGTTTAATTTCTCTGATATTTATTAAAGATGGAATTTTGGGGGAATCAAATTAATTTAAACAACAATTTCTCTACAAAGTTGTGCATTAGCGTCGATTTGACCACTTTTAATGACATACAAACTACTCTGTCTGATTCATAAAACTTCTGCAACAAGCAGAGATTTGAGCTTAATGATGAATCAGCTTCTGTGCTTGAAATCAAGTGCCATTGTAAGGGCAAAATAAAAGACTAAGATGTCTAAACAACGTAGAAAATATGATGTGATTTATTTTCGTAAAATAACATTTAAACGCTGTTTTATTGCAATGTATGAGATGCCTCAGCACTAGCTGTGTTCTGTATTATTTATTTTTTGAACAGAGTCAGTATTAGAAAACAAAAGCACAGTGTAATATGTCTCTAAATGGAACATGGAATAGTTGATTTTACTCGTGCATGTAAAATAAGTACATCCACATTTGTACTGGATTGCCATTAGCACAAATGATTAATATTGTTATTTTCTGTTTTATTCTTATTACAAATATTAATGATATTGATAGTAGATTAGGTTATTAAGCTGTTGTTTAACTGTTACGCTCAGATTTACACACACTCCTGCCAGTCGTGATTGTAGATTGTACAGAACCCAGGATGAAATTGATGAATAGAAAGGACATTGTGTTTTAGAATTTTGAATAGCTCTTGATTCTTTGTTATTGTTTGTTTCAGTTTTTATATTATTTGGAAAAAAAAAACAAAATAATAATGGATCTCATGCCTCTTCAGTGCAAAAGCAAAGTACTGACTTAGCCAGTGTCAGAGTAGGGAATGTGTCCTGTTGAGAACTTATCAACCTGTTCACTTTTTTCACTTCCTCTTAGGAGCTGTTAGAAAGAGTCAGACAGCTGTTCCAGACTGCGAGATAGACTCTTATGCTATCCGCTGGTTCAACTTGGCATCTGATGGCGGAGGTGGCCGGAAAGATCGAGCCAAGGCTGACAAAGGACCAAGCGCTCAGCTAGCTGAAATTTAATGTAAGTATATGAGCATTATCCACTAAATGTGGTGTTTTTTTTTACTTGCGTACACCTTCTCTGTGTAGATTTCCCTTGAATGTGAACAGTGCCTCAATTTTGTTTTTGTTTTGTTTTTGCCCTACAACTGTAGACATTTTCAGTGTTAAATATGCTGTTGGATATTAGCTTGAAAATTTGAATATTGGGGTTTTTGCTGGGCTGACAGGGTTAAAGTTAGAAAGCAATATTAACGTAGCTTGATCTATATACTGTCCAGGTTTCATCTATATAAATCAACTAACATATATATATATATATATATATAGAAGTTGGGATGCTGTGCAGAATGTGAATAAAAATAAACCATATTTTTAAAGGAAAATAGTACAAAGACAACATATCAAATGTTGAAACTGAGAAATTTGATTGTATTTTGAAAAATATATGCCCATTTTGAATTTGATGTCAACAGCATGTTCCAAAAAGTTGGGGGGGCATGTTTACCACTGTGTTTCATCACCTCTTCTTTTAACAACACTCTGTAAGCGTTTGGGAACTGAGCAGACACTGCTGTAGTTTTGAAAGTGAGATGTTTTCCCATTTTTGCTTAACATAGGATTACAGCTGCTCAACAGTTCAGGTTTCTTCTTTGCGTTTTAGAGTTTTAACTTGCATTTGTGGATGCAGCAACAAATTGTTTTCACAGATAGTGGTTTTTAGAAGTGTTTCTGAGCCCATGCAGTGATTTCCACTACTAACAGAATCATGTCTGTTTTTAATGCAGTGCTGTTTGAGGGCCCAAAGATCACGGCCAGCAAATACTGGTTTCTGGCCTTGTCCCTTACATACAGAGATTTCTCCAGATTCTCTGAATCTTTTAATGTTCTTATGTACCGTAGATGATGAAAAGCCAAAGTTCTTTGCTTTTTATGTTGAAAAACGTTATTCTTGAGTTGTTGCACTATTTGATCATGCAGTCTTTCACTGAGTGGTGAACCCCGCCTCATCTTTACTTCTGAAAGACTCAGCCTCTCTGGGATGCTTTTTTTTATACCCAATCATGTTACTGACCTGTTGTCAGTCAACCACCATTTTTTTTTGTTTTGTTTTGTTTTTTTAGCATTACACAACTTTACCAGCCTTGTGTTGCCCCCGTCCCAACTTTTTTATAACATGTTGTTGGCATCAAATTCAAAATGGGCAAAAATTTTCCAAAAAAGAATAGCATTTATCAGTTGCAACGTTTGATATGTTGTCTTTGTACTATTTTCAATGAAATATAGGGTTTCAATGATTTGCACATCATTGCATTTTGTTTTATTTACATTTTGCACAGCGTCCCAACTTTTTTGGAAATGGGATTGTGTGTGTGTGTATATATATATATATATATATATATATATATATATATATATACACACACACACCTATTACATTAAGTAATGATTACATTACAGTAAGTCCACCTCCTTGCGTTTACCCTCATTGTCCATTTTATCAGCTCCACTGACCATATAGTAGCACTTTGTAGTTCTACAGTTACAGACTGTAGTCCATCTGTTTCTCTGCATACTTTGTTACCCTGTTCTTCCGTGGCCAGGAACCCCATGGACCCCCACAGAGCAGGCATTGTAGCGGTGGTGGATCATTCTCAGTACTGCAGTAACACTGACGTGGTGGTGGTGTGATAGTGTGTGTTGCGCTGGTCTGAGTGGATCAGGCACAGCAGTGCTGCTGGAGTTTTTAAACACCTCAGTGTTGCTGCTGGACTGAGAACCAAAAACATCCAGCCAACAGTGTCCTGTGACCACTGATGAGCTATCGTCTCTGACTTTACATCTATAAGGTGGACCATCAAGGTAGGAGTGTCTAATAGAGTGGACAGTGAGTGGATACAGTGTTTAAAAACAGTGTGTTGCACTGGTGTGAGTGGATCAGACACAGCAGTGCTGCTGGAGTTTTTAAACACTGTGTCCACTCACTGTCCACTCTATTAGACACTCCTACCTTGTCGGTCCACCTTGTAGATGTAAAGTCAGAGACGATAGCTCATCTGCTGCTGCACAGTTTGTGTTGGTCATCCTCTAGTCCTTCATCAGTGGTCACAGGACGCTGCCCACAGGACACTGTTGACTGGATATTTTTGGTTGGTGGACTATTCTCAGTCCAGCAGTGACACTGAGGTGTTTAAAAATTTCAACACACACTAGCACACTACCACCACAAAAGTGTTACTGCAGTGGTTAGAATGATCCACCACCCAAATAGTACCTGCCCTGTGAGGGTCCATGGGGGTCCTGACCACTGAAGAACAGGGTAAAAGGTGGCTAACAAAGTATGCAGAGAAACAGATGGACTACAGTCTGTAACCGTAGAACTACAAAGTGCATCTATGTAGTAAGTGGAGCTGATAAAATGGACAATCAGCGTAGAAACAAGGAGGTGTTCAGAATGTTATGCCTGATCGGTGTATTTATACATAAGCTTAAAATAAGCTATAATTTTTGGTCATACAGCCCACTACTGGTGTAGTTACAGCCACACTCTACCTTCTCTGTCATGTCCTTCTTTTGTAACCCTTCTTAGTCACAACACTCCATCGACTTTGCAAAATGTAATTAATCATTCAATGGTTTAGATGTAAACAAAATCATTCAGAGTAGTTTGGGGTGAAATGCGGCTTTCTAGGGAAATTTACAGAGTCAAAATCGTTCACCATTGTAGTACTAGGAACCAGACGTCCGTACATCTGCACTGCAAATAATCACCATTTTATCTGCTATCCAGAATGAACAGTGAGTTTACATGAGTTTTTATATATCTTACCGAAAAATAGTGCTAAAATGAAAAAAAAAGTTTTCTTTGGGTACTGTTTTTTCTTACAATGCCCTGCATGTACCTCTCTGCCCTGAATGCGTTTTGGAGAAGGGTCTAAGCACGTTAGCTTGCATGCATTGAGAATACGGTTTTGAGAAGAAACACGGAACCAATCCTGGAGTAACAGTTTATACTAAAAATATGTTTTAGGCTAAAACTTGATAACAAAACTATCACAAAATAATGTCTCAGGTGTCAAGTCATGCATGCATAACCATTCTGTGTAATAACTTGACAGGATGTAACTTTCAGAGCCATTAAATGTGTCGGATTCCTAGTACTATAATGGTGAACAGTTTGCACTCTGTAAATTTCACACCGAACCACGCAATGATTTTGTTTACATCTAAACCATTGAATGATTACGAATTGGTGGAGTTCCCCTTTAAGGCACTTAAGGTATATTACAATAAACTTTAATAATCATAAATAGAAACAAAGCTGTCATGTGGCCCTGTAAAAACATTCTCTGAGTATTTTTGCACAGTGTAGGAAGAAAACTGGTTTACGGTGGCACAGAAGCCGCAGAGAAAAAAGTAATTGGTAATATCATATCAATATCATAATGTCTTGTTTTAAAGGCCAGGCATTGTCAAGGTGCGAAGATCAGGCCTTTGCTTGCAACTGATCACTCTCTTGCATTTAACTTGACAAACAAAAGTTTGCTTCTTGTCACACTGCTGCATGGGTGACATGCAGTTTTGTTGTTGTTTAGTTCACTTTTGTTGTGGCAATCTTACATTTTACTGTTATATTACAGGAGAATCCTAAAGGAGCAGTTTCTTTGACCAAAGCTGGCTCTAAATTGGCACTACAACACCACTATCTTCCAAGAATGTATTATTTTTAGTTTGTGTTTAATAAATGTACACAAATACACATGTGTTGTTCATGTTAGCATTATAATTTGTCAGTTAACAATTCTTATGTAATGAGAAGTATTCTTTATAAAGGTAAGATGATTGTGATAGTGTTGCATGCTTACTGTTCTTAATTCTTTATTCATTCAGTCTTACAATTTAAATGCATCTTAAAGACTGGCTAATTTATCCATTTACATCATTTATAGTTTACAGTATAGTACAGAGAGCTTTAGTCATTTATTAAGATTGTATAGATTGCAATAGCAATATGAAGTAATGTGCCTTGATTTGTAGTGTAAAATGGAATAAAAAAAACATTTGTCAATTACACCACACAGCTTACCCTGTTTTTATTTATTCAGTTTGTAACAGTTAAAGCATGTTATTCTGTGTTTGTACATCGTCAACTGAATTAAATATAATTAAACATGATTGTTTTTGTTTTTTATTTTAGTTTACATGAACAGTAATGTTATTGTCTCATTTAATAGACTGTTCTATTAGAAATATATTAATTCAGTAACAGAAATATTTTCTGTGAAGAAGTTGTGTATCTCAGTGGTTGTCAGCTCTGGTCTTGGAGTACCCACTGCCTTGTATATTTTAGTGTTTTCCCTGATTCAAACACACCTGGTGCAACTAATCATCTATATATCAAGCCCTTTGTGAGTTAAAGTCGGTGTGTTGAAGCAGGAAAAACACTAAAAACTGCAGAACAGGGGTATACAGGGCCCAGGGTTGGGTTTGTAACATGGAAATTTCACAACCATTCTACCTTTTCAAAAACCTTTAATAACTACATATTGTAGTTATATTGTGATAAAAATAATAATTCCATACATTCTAATATGATACAATAAGTAAAAAATGACAAATGAAACAGCTACAGGCCAGAGGTGATGTGAATCCGGTCCGGAGCTGATCCATATGTAAAATAAACATAACGGATGTGGCCCGCATCTGGGCCACGTGAGTAAACAAATCATTGAGAATTGGTCTGACGCTGGGCCGGTGCTGGCCCACATCTGTAAACCGGATCCGTAACAGTATTGGCCCGTTGTGCCAAAAGAAACCGGGCCGGACCCATTTCACGGATCTGGGCCAGAACTTGTGGGGCATTTGGGCCGGATCTGGGCCAGATCATTTTTGCTATCTGGGAATGATGCTGATAATCTATATCTGCCCAGATAGCAAAATGTATCCGGCACGGATCCTGACCAGATCCATCATAAAATCCGGACCGGACCCGTGAAACAGATCTGGTCCAGAGTCCACTTGCACAACGGTCCAAATCCGGCACGGGTCTGGATTCCGGACTTGGAGCAATACTGGGACGGCACTGGCCCGGATCTTTATGGTTTCTGTGCTCCTCCGGTCCAAATACGGGCCGGATCCTCTTACTGCCATTCTCCTCCGGATCAGCTCAGGATCAGCTCCGGCTCTTAACCAAGGTTTTTTGATGTAACTGCTTTTAAAACTTTTTAAAACTACTTTTACATAACAAACATTACATAAATGTTCATTCAATTATTCGATCTATTAAAATCCACATCTCACATCTAATCCTCTGCTGTTTAACGCTACTACTCCTTTTTTTGGCTGTACTAGATAATTATGCTGACCACTTATAGACAAAATGCATACAAATGTAACAATTAACTTCCAAAGCTATTATAAAGTGTTACCTAAATCTATTTTGAAAAAAAAATAATAATCTGTACATCTCTATATATCTGTAAGAATTATCTGTAAATAAAACATGACTAGGCCTCTGTGGAAGCAACACTGACACGTTGTTTCCTACCGCTGCCCCTGTCGGAAGCCAGGTTGAACTATCTTTTAACTGTTTTTTTTTGTTTTAGGTTTTTTAATTGTTTTAGGTTTTACTTTATGAACTTAAATATACACCCATTTCAAGTATGATGCCTGCAACACGTTCCAAAAGGTTGGGACAGGAGCATGTTTATCACTGTTGCATCACTTTTCCTTAAACCAACACTTTTTCAGAATGAACGTATATTTACAAAAAAAAATCAGGTTGATAAAACAATACATATCCTTGTACTGTTTTTGCTCAAATACAGGTAAATATAAATTGCTGCATTCTGTGTTTATTTGCATTTTACTACTGTTAGCAACTTTTTTGGAATGGGTTTGTATGTACACTATATTGCCAAAAGTATTCACTCACCCATCCAAATAATTGAATTCAGGTGTTCCAATCACTTCCATGGCCACAGGTGTATAAAACCAAGCACCTAGGCATGCAGACTGCTTCTACAAACATTTGCGAAAGAACGGGTCGCTCTCAGGAGCTCAGTGAATTCCAGCGTGGTACCGGGATAGGAGTCCAGTCGTGAAATTTCCTCACTACTAAATATTCCACAGTCAACTGTCAGTGGTGTTATAACAAAGTGGAAGCGATTGGGAACGACAGCAACTCAGCCACGAAGTGGTAGGCCACATAAAATGACAGAGCAGGGTCAGCGGATGCTGAGGTGCATAGCGCGCAGAGGTCGCCAACTTTCTGCAGAGTCAATTGCTACAGACCTCCAAACTTCATGTGGCCTTCAGATTAGCTCAAGAACAGCGTAGAGAGCTTCATGGAATGGGTTTCCATGGCCGAGCAGCTGCATCCAAGCCTTACATCACCAAGCGCAATACACAGCATCAAATGCAGTGCCCCACTGGACTCTAGAGCCGTCTGGCAATCCATGGACGAGTCTGGGTCTGGCGGTTGCCAGGAGAACGGTATTTGACTGCATTGTGCCAAGTGTAAAGTTTGGTGGAGGGAGGATTATGGTGTGGGGTTGTTTTTCAGGAGTTGGACTCAGCCCCTTAGTTCCAGTGAAAGGAACTCTTAATGCTTCAGCAGAACAAGAGATTTTGGACAATTTCATGCTCCCAACTTTGTGGGAACAGTTTGGGGACGGCCCCTTCCTGTTCCAACATGACTGCGCACCAGTGCACAAAGCAAGGTCCATAAAGACATGGATGAGCGAGTTTGGTGTGGAAGAACTTGACTGGCCTGCACCTCAACCTGATAGAACCCCTTTGTGATGAATTAGAGTGGTGACTGCGAGCCAGGCCTTCTCGTCCAACATCAGTGTCTGACCCACATATGCTCTTCTGGAAGAATGGTCAAAAATTCCCATAAACACACTCCTAAACCTTGTGGAAAGCCTTCCCAGAAGAGTTGAAGCTGTTATAGCTGCAAAGGGTGGATCGACATTATATTAAACCCTATAGATCAAGAATGGGATGTCACTCAACTTCATATGCATGTGAAGGCAAACGAGCGAATACCTTTGGCAATATAGTGTGTGTGCATTCTCAAAAATTTTGATGCACCCCGTTTTTTAATTTGTGTCACAAGCAAGGCATAACAAAGCTAAGCACTAACTAATAATATAATATTAATTGACACAAAATACTTATTTTTATATCTCTATGATGAGCCTCTAACCAATCTCTATAGTAAGACTCTGTATGCAGTTATGATCTTCCACTGAGAAACATGCCCCACTATTAAGCCATGCAGAAAACTGTACAGAAATCAAAACACTAGTAGACTACCTTATTTAGTGTGATTGTTAGATTAACAAGTTCCTTATAGCACAATATGTCACCATACAGCTTGCTAATGTCAGCATTAATAGCCTTTGCAAAAGCAGCCAGTTTGGCGTTACAATGTTTAACTGAACATTTCTAATTATGGTAAAGTGAGTCAAAGCATATGAAATGTAATATTAACAGGCTGTACTGAGGAATGGAAACTGTCAGAGAAATGATACATGAGAAGTCAAATAGCAGCAGAAACCAACAGTCACTCAGAACATCTCTCTGTATGCCTTAATTCACCAATTAAAATCAAGTAAATGTAATAAACCCTTTTGAATATAAATATTAAAACTGCTTACACAGTAGCAAGGTTTTTTGTTGCCATCTGACTGAATGTTTTTTTCCCCATTTGCACCTTTCCAACTTATCCTCTTGCCAACACTGTCAGAAAAAATATGTGAAAGGATGTTCCATGTTACGTGTTTTGTGTCGTGCCCCCCGATAGATGCTAGAGAGGATATCTAAAAGACAAAAGTTGTGGATTAAAGTACAAGATATTCTTTCTAAAGTGTCAGTACTTTTAATTACAAAGTTTAACTCAACTGGTTCAGCAAAAGTAGACATCAGGTTAAGTATGATGAATGAGTTTCATGTTGTATTGCACTATATGAGTAACATGAGCCAATGATCATAATTTGGAACCTACCTGATGCCACCATGCATTTGTAGGGGTAAGCAATATGGCAAACATATCTTGATACTTCCAAGACATTTTCACAATACATGTATGCATCACAATATTTTAGAATCTGTAGTATTACATATAAAAATACTATTATAATAATTACATACCTACAACTATAGTAATTTATTTTATTCACTGTTTTACAAAACTGCACTGAACTAAATCAATTAAACAGGCCTGATTACTAATCAGGCCTAATTAACTAGTCAGGGGTCTGTAATTACTAAAGATATCCAAAATATGCTTCAAAAAGTGTATTTTACTTTTCAGCAAACTGTAACCTGGCCATCCTATTTCTGTGGCTAACTAGTGGTTTGCATCTTGCAGTAATAGATATATATATATATATATATATATATATATAGACAGAGATAGATAGATAGAGATAGATAGATAGAAAGACAGATAGAGAGATAAATAGACAGAGATAGACAGAGAGAGAGAGAGAGAGAGAGAGAGAATTGCAGAACAATAGATAGATAGATAATTGTAGAACAATAGAGATAGACAGATAGATAAATAGAGAATTACAGAACAATAGATAGATAGACAGATAGACAGAGAGAGATAGATAGACAGAGATAGATAGAAAGATAGAGATAGATAGAGAGATAAATAGACAGATAGAGAGAGAGAGAGATAGAGAACTGCAGAACAATAGATAGATAATTGTAGAACAATACATAGATAGAGATAGACAGATAGATGACAGATAGACAGACAGACAGACAGACAGACAGATAGATAGATAGATAGATAGATAGATAGATAGATAGATAGATAGATAGATAGAACAAGTGTAGAACAAGTACAAAATGACAAAACATTAGGTCTGTGGAGGGACTGAAACAAATCTATGCAATGGCTGGAGAGCAGAAGTCAGGAACCAAACCTAAGTTATTCAAAGTAGCTCACATGATTTTTTTTAAAAGAAAGTCTTATAACTTCTCAATACAATTATTTTACTGTTTAATTTTATTCTAATGTTATCTGGTGTTTACTAGCACTCACTCACTTACTGCCCAGATAAATTTTTAAGCAAATTGGTTAGGTGCTTTTACACAGTGCTGTATAAGGATACAGATGACAATTAAAAAAAAAAAAACAATTGTATTTTTACTGTTCAGCAAACTGTAACCTGGCCATCCTATTTCTGTGGCTAACTAGTGGTTTGCATCTTGCAGTGTAGCCTCTGTATATCTATTCCAAAGTCTTGTGCAGACAATAATCATTGTTAAATACACACAAATCCACAGGGGTATGTAGATTTTTCTTCATTATGATGAGAATGAGAACTGTTGTTTTTGGTATATTTTTGGTCTTAGGTTTGGCCGATGTCTCTTACTGTTTTATTCTTGTTTCTCAGCTTTCTAATGGTTTCCTTAACTTTCACTGGCACAACTCTGGATGAAAACCCTCAAATCAAAACAAAAGGCTGAATGTTCTCTTATCTCTGCACTAATTAAACAATTAACTCCTTAAAATCCCAGGCTTGTGACATACTAAGGTTTATCATTTAGTAACTAGATGCACTACTTCTTGTACTTCCTAAAGAAAATACCAGGTCTTGTAAAAAAAACAAAAAAAACAATTAAAAACAAAAAAGGAAACGTTGATGATTGTAAAGATGTTTAAGACATATAGATAGATAGATAGATAGATAGATAGATAGACAGATAGATAGATGGACAGATAAACAGAGAATTGCAGAACAATAGATAGATAGACAGACAGACAGACAGACAGAGACAGACAGAGACTTGTAGACTGATAGATAGATAGATAGATAGATAGATAGATAGATAGATAGATAGATAGATAGATAGACAGACAGATAGACAGACATAGATAGACAGACATAGATAGATAGACCAACAGACTGACAGACAGATAGATAGACTGACAGACAAAGACTTGTAGAATGATAGATAGATAGATAGATAGATAGATAGATAGATAGACAGAGATAGATAGACATAGTAAGATAGATAGATAGATAGACAGAGATAGATTGAGAATTGCAGAACAAAAGATAGACAGATAGATAGATAGATAGATAGATAGATAGATAGATAGATAGACAGATAGATAGATAGATAGATAAATAGGTAGATAATTGTAGAACAATAGATAGAGATAGACAGATAGATAGATAGAGACAGAGATAGATAGATAGATAGATAGATAGATAGATAGACTGACAGACAGATAGATAGACTGACAGACAGAGACTTGTAGAACGATA